GTAAGTTCTTTCAGAATGTGTAATATCACAGCTTCCCACAACTGTCTATCCTCTGTCCCCTCAATAGTTTCTATTCTGCCTCCCCCACCGTATGTTAAAACACTTCCTAGATAAGTAAATTTGGCATGGATTTTAACCCCTTCAGAAAAAAATAGAAAATTTCATCCATGAAAGTTGATTTGTATCCGTATTAAAAGCAACAACTATGCTTTCAATGAAACTGATGTCAAAATTGTACCTAAAAAATTATTAGCAATGACTCCGCACATGTAAACCTATTTTAAAGGGGAATTAGAAAAAAATTAGGTAAACATTTTGAGAAAGAAAATCTGTCTAATTAGCGATGCGAGAAAATGATGTATAAATGCATACTTATGATCAGATTTTAATTTAATGCAATTTTTGAGTTTTTATGATCAGATTTTAATGCAAGAAATACCCAGGTATTTTTTTGAAGAGGTTAAAAATAATGCCTTTTCGGTGACCAGTTGTATCATTCACAAGTAAATTCTTTTCTGGAGGGGTTAAATTCAAACTAAAAAATCAGAGGTCGCACTATACATGAGTATATATTTAATAAAAGTGAAACGTGTTAGATCGATATACGTTTCCTACTTGTTATTTATTTGATTCCGATGTATATTTGATCTTTAACTTTTATATATATATATATGCAATTTTTTTAGTCAGTTTACCCTGACGATCCGTATAGGTGAAACCTAGGTAGATTTTTCTGGCTCTTTAGTTTAACTTATTTTGCTCTACTTAGCGTATTGAGCACTTTGCTTAGTTATTTTTACTTTACTCGTTTCGGAGTTTTTTTTTTCTTTTTCTTTTTCTTTTCTTTTTTTACCCTTGTTTTATTCATTTACAAGCTAAAACACCTAAGGTTTTGCCGGACGAGTATAGCTGCTTATATTTATAAGATTATTAGTATTATATATATATATATATATATATATATATATATATATATATATATATGGTGTTCCTACAAATTAACATTTGGTAGACTAATAACATAGCCAATTCTCGCTCGAATTATCTCAAATAAAAAAAATGCGTAAAAACCAACTACATTGAGTGTGCGGACTTATCTCACTGAAGATCTATCAAGAAGATAGATCTTACGTACTCGTGATAATAACGATGTGCTGTTGAAATAGCCACCACGTTCACCTGGCTTGACACCTTGTGCTTTTTATCTATGGGGCTATGTGAAAAGACAGGTCTTTGTCCCCTCTCTTCCTACAAGCCTAGCGGAATCACTGAGTCACAGGGGGTGCGGATATTAAACATTTGTGAAGCTTTGTGAAATCGGTTATAAAATCTACATCCCTTTGAATAGCTTGTTCGAATTTTGATAAATAGATATTTTATGGTTCAACATGAAGCCTATTTAATTCCATTTGCCTGGGGTATGTAGTTCCCCAGATTTTCACATTTTAAATGATGTCAACATTTTTGGACAACCTGTATATTTAATGTATACTTTGGGAGCAAGATTTCACTTTAACAAGTTTTATTAAATTCAACAGATATGATATTTCCGTTTAATTATTTATTGCATTTTTCTAATTTTCAAATGAGTTGTTGCATATCAGCACCAAAAGTTTCAATAAAATGTCCAAATTTCTATTTACATTATTTACGTCGTTCAGACTATTGTCCTCATCTCTGTTGTCATATTCACGAAATTTCGGCCGTTCTGCGCTCCGGCCTTTAGGTGATATACGTTGAATTTCGAACCGAACTCTTTATTTTGTCCACCAGGGTAGATTGTTCTAGTTCCACGTGCCATGCCTTGGCCCACTGGATGAAAGCGTTGGTATAAGAAATCCAGTAAATTGACCTAAAGAGTTGTGAGTTCAATACCTGGCCACAGAAGAGGTGAATAAAAACTTGGAGAGTTGATTTACTAAAGGGAAGTAACTGAAACTAAGGTATCCAGAAAAGGATATATATATATATATATATATATATATATATATATATATATATATATATATATAATTAGAACAAAAAATCCTATGCATTTGAATATATTATTTTATTATTTCACATGATATTATTGTTCCAGATTCTATAACCTTCTACTGTTTTGATTCATTGACTGCGTTAACTTTTCTACGCTTTCAACTTTAACAATGCTTGCTACAGATTTTATTGATGCCAAAGATCTTTGCTTGATTATTATTTCCTACTGTCATATACAGCTGTTTAATGGACCACAAGTATTTTATTGGAGTAATATCTAAAAAGGCTTTCAGTGGCTTTCTATTAATTTAGTGTCATTTTTGCTGGCCGATCTATTTTCTTTGCGTTTTAATTTTTTTTTTCTTTTTGCGAAATTCTTAAGGTACGTTTTTTCTTATTTAAATTATTTACATTATTCGGACTGTTATCCTCATCTTCATTGCCATATTCACGACGTTCAGCATGTGATTGGAATTTCGGACTGAACCCTTTATTTCGTCCTCCTTGGTAGATTGTTCTAGATCCACGTGCTATGCCTCTACCGGATGTCGCAATTATTTCCGTTTAAGAATTATCCAAGTTTTTTTTAGTTCACCACTGCTGTAGCCTGGTGCTGAACTCACAACTCTTTGGGTCTAGTCACTGGATCTAACCAACGTTTTTATCCAATGGGCCATATGTTCTCCAGGATATGTTAAAGGGAAACAGCTGAGATACCCGGAAGAGGTATGTCATGTGGAACTAGAACAATCTATCCCGGTGGACGAAATAAAGAGTTCGGTGCGAAATTCCAATCACCTGAAGACGGCCGGAGCGTACAACGGCTGAAACGTTGGGAATATGGCAATGAGGATAATATGTAAATAGTGGAAATAACCATAATACCTCATCTCCAAGATATAGACAGATACTGTTTTTCTTTTTCTTATTTTGCTAATATTTTCAATTTTTCATTGTTCATTGATCTTTGTTTAGCCTTTTCTCAGTTTCCCAAAAAGACTTTCTATCTCTCAATGACTTTACAATATACCGTTTCGCTTTTGAGGTTATGTCAATTATTACGAGGATAAATAAAAAAAATATCCGCACTTTCGCCATAGGTGTGTCATACCGCCTTCTTCTCATGCATGCTTATAGTTAGTACTTCTGCAGTCACGTGATCTAAGACTGAGCTTGTTCGTGCCAGTTTTCTTGCTGCTGTTACAATGTAAACATGGCCGCTCCGCTAGCAGTGTGCACCAAGCAGGAACAAATAACAGCGATCGAATCTGCAGTAAACATGCTACGTTATCGATCATAACTAGTCTGTTCGCCGTTCCCATCTCCCGAGCTTGATGAATCTTCTATTCAGTGGTGGAGGTTAACGAGTATCTTGCTCCTTTTTCGTGCCTCACGCTTATCCGGGGCCTTTGAAACTTCTTGATACAGTCATACACTGTTCTACGCGCTAGTGCAATGTGGCCGTATTCTGCTAAAAGCCTCCGATAAATTTCAGGCCTGACACACGTTCCAACCAGAGAAATCATATCACTCCTTTTTGTTCCTCCTTGTTGCACACTGCTAGCGGAATGGCCATGTTTATAATGTTTGTAACAGCAGCAAGAAAACTGGCGCGATCAAGCTCAAACTTCTTTCACGTGACCACAATTGTACCAACTAGAATCAAGCATGAGCATAAGTCAATGTGACAAGGCTAAAGATATGTTGAAAGTGGGAATAATTGTAGACTTACTCTCATATATATCTAGAATTAAGAAATAAATATCAATAATTAATCCATTGTATGTATTTATTTACTATTTGCAACACACTATTTCATACATGGCTAGCTGAACCTTGAATAGCGTTAGCATTCATGTCATAATATCTTGGTTCGAATTTACCGGTCGTCGATTTGTCAAGTAAATGACTTGATAATTATATCGACCTGAGAGAGTGATTTCAAGGGAAGTGCTTGAAACCCACAGCGCAGATTAACTCAAGCTTTGTGAATTAAATTGGGTAGGAGTTAGTTGTGCTTGCACGATGTCACAAGTCATCGTGACCGTGAGTCCGAGCGGTACTGACCGTGTTCAACTACTGATCATACAAAATTATGCACTCTCTCCCTAAAACTGTAACTAAGTTAGCTCTGTGGGTGTGGAAGAAATACAAATCTTGAACATAAAATATCATGTCAACCTAGAGGACTCGATAGGCTTCTGAGACTACTACATATATTTATTTACAATATGATAAAAACACTTGCGTTGTATAAAATCTCACATCATTATATTAGCCAATGTAAGTATTTCCAATATAATCGCTGTCCTGGGTATGACAGTAAACTACATCTGCATCCTGGGTAAGACGATAAACTACATCCAAAAGCAAGGCCCCTGATGAGGAGGTTTTGAGGAGCGTGGGACCACCTCTTAATTGCTGGTGTTCCAAGATCTACACTGACCCAGGGTGTTAGCACCTGTTAGGGTGCCAGCTATGGGTAAATAGTTGACACACAAACTTGGGCCAAAACACTATGAAAATGTAAAAATAGGTTTTAATACATATCAGAGATACTTTGTAAAAAAAAAAAACATTTTTAGAAAAAGATATTATCAACTATAGTTTATTTTGAAAGAAAATATTACCAGCAATAAAAAAAATTGTGGGCATTAAATAACCCATTGAGGTGTTGATATGTCGTGAAACAAACCAAACCAACCAAATCCAATAAAATCGCATAAACTGAAATTTTATCACTATGTCCTGAAAAGTTTATCAGCATTATTTGGTCATGACCAATTTTAGTATGAAAACTTTAGCTTGCTTAATAAAATCCGACGTAGTGTAGGTCAGCGAGAGTATTCGAGTTCAATCTAAAAAAAAGAAAAAAAAAAGAAACCAGCTGCTTGATTTTGCAACTTTTGTTGCTCTGCGCAGAATCAGTCTCTTGATATAATCCACAACGCTGTCAATAACGAACTGAAATCAAGCATTAAGTCATTCTACTGCCCAGGCTCTTGCTACAACGTCAAAGTTGA